CACATCCCAAACGAAGCTAAAAATTCACACCCATAGAATGCGCCTCAAATTCTCTTCCTTTTTTTATTTTATTCTATTTATTTTATTCTATTTATTGGGTTGTGTTGGTTTAGTTGTTTTTTGTTTTACTAAAGGATGGTTATGCGTAGGGGTGTGCTAAAAAGTTAGACATCTCACACCAACTCATTAGCTTAACTGATTATATGGAATTATTAAATTTTAACCAATAGCCTAACTGATCAGTCAATTTTATCACCTAACCAGTCCAACCTAACTCACCTACCTTATCAAATCACACATGTTGAGTTGGTATGAAATGTCTAGTTTTTTAGAACACCCCTACACATAAGCATCCTTCTCAAAAAAATAAAAAATAAAAAAATGGCCAAAACGACGTCGTTTTGGCCATTTGAACCACTTTTGAGCCACAAAATTTGAGTTACGAGACATTTTTCAAATACAAAAACAAAAAATTGTGCTAAGATACTTCTAACAAAGCACTGGTTTGTCATGATGAGTTGGGGGGAGTTGAGACTAAAATAGTTACTCCTTCCGTCTTAAAATATTAGTCCCTCTTAAAAAATCAAGTATAAAAATAATGTAAATTTTCTATTCAACAATGATTCATCCCCCCTTTTCCTTCCATCCCCTTTGACCCCCTCTCTCTCTCATTGGTTACATTTTTTTTTTCTTTTTCTTTTTTTTCCTACTCCTCCAATCACCACCCGTCACGTGGCAAAGGGGGGTGAGGGGGTGACCCCCAAAAGGGGGTCCCAAGTATTATTCTTTTCCATTTTGCCCTTCTTTTAAATTAATAAACAATATAAAAAGTACAATTATGACATTGATATTCTCAAAAAATGTACTATCAAAAGAGTAATTTTGAAAAAATTAACTTTTTTCAAATGTAATAATTGTATTATCAAAAAAAGTTGAATTTTCCAAAAGGGACTATTATTTTGGGACGAAGGGAGTATAAAAAGAGAAAATAGATTTTTAGCTTCAGGCTAAAAAGTGCTATATTCAAATTAAAATTATTATTATTATTTTTTTTTATGAAAGTTAAAAAAATTACAAAGTTTATTCAAAATGAGACTTTAAAATAAAAATTCACACCAATAGAATTAACACGGCACCCACGCCTACTTATTTCGTGCACTATTGAGTCAAAAAAATATATTTGAAATTCAAATTTTAATTTTTACAATTATATTTACAATGAATGAAAAGGAAATGTGAACTATCTGTATTGTTGAAGGAATTGAATAATTTTGGAAAAAGTACTTATGTTAATATTCTTTGGTTATAAATTGTCACATTATTTATATATATATATATATATATATATTTTTAAAAAAAAATTCAAAAAATCAATTAAAAATAACCAATTCACAAATAGAGGGTTAACTTTTTGTGAACTTTAAATTCAGCAGTGCTAGGGCCTCGAATTGTGAGGTTCGAATGCACCTCGAATTCTCATCCTCTTTTATTTTATTTTTTTTATTCTATTTATTGGGTTGTGTTGGTTTAGTTGTTTTTTGTTTTTTTTTTTACTAAAAATGTGGTTATGCATGGGGTGTGCTAAAAAACTAGACATCTTACACCAACTCATTAGCTTAACTGATTATAAGGAATTATTAAATTTTAACTAATAGCTTAACTGATCAGTCAATTTTACCACCCAACTAGTTCAACCCAACTCATCCACCTTATCAAATCACACAGACTGAGTTAGTATGAAATGTCTAATTTTTTTTGACACAACACAGAACCACCTTTCAAAGAAAAAAAAATAAAAAATTAAACTAACATAACCCAACAGATGGAAAAGAAAAACAAAAAAACAAACAAACCAACACAGCCCAAAAAAAAACCAACAAAGGGAAGTTGAGGCGCATTTGAGCCTCACAATTCAAGATTCCAAACATTTCCCTTCGACCGCGCTAAAGGCCTTGAAATTTGAGGCAAATTTACCTCAAATCATGTTGGGGTTTTTTTTTTCATGTTTTTTTTTTTTGTTGGGTTGGGTTGGGTTGGGTTGGGTTGGTTGGGTTTAGTTTTTTCTTTTTTCTTTTTTGGGGAGAAGGGTGGTTATGTGTATCTAAAATTCTAAATTCTAAACTCTTAAATTTTAAATTTTAAATTCTAAAATTACAGCCCAAAAAAAAACCAACAAAGGGAAGTTGAGGCGCATTTGAGCCTCACAATTCAAGATTCCAAACATTTCCCTTCGACCGCGCTAAAGGCCTTGAAATTTGAGGCAAATTTACCTCAAATCATGTTGGGGTTTTTTTTTTTTTTTTGGTTTGGTTTAGTTTTGTTCTTTTTTTCTTTTTGGGAGAAGGGTGGTTATGTGTATACAAAATTCTAAATTTTATACTCCTAAATTTTAAATTTTAAATCCTAAATCTTAAATCTTAAAATTTTAAATCCTAACCCCTAAACCCTAAATCCTAAATCTCTTAAATCCTAAAACTCTAAACTTTAAATCCTAGACCTCTTAAACCCTAAACCCTACTCTTAAAACCCTAAATCCTAAACCTCTTAAACCTTAAATCTTAAATTCTAAATCCTAAATCCTAAACTCACCCTTACACGTAACCATTCTTAAAAATAAAAAAAATAAAAAAACAGCCCAACAAATAAATAAATAAAAAACAACCAAACCAACATAGCCCAACAAATAAATAAATAAATAAAATAATAAAAAAAAACAACTAAACCAACACAGTCCAAAAAAATAACCAAAAAAAAAAAAAAAAAAAAAAAAACAATTCAAGGCATAATTCAAGGCATTCGAGCGTCCATTTTGTCGAGACCTTAGTCTTTTTCCATTCAAATTTGGGATCCCTAACATTTCTCGTTGAATCAATTTGGTGACAAGCGAACCGGGGTGAAGCATGGGCTGATGAAGTGGGCCGTTTCGCTTGTTTGGTTCCAGTTTTCAGAAAACAGTTTTTAGAAAATTCTACTTTTTTATTTTTCCTATTTTAACATTTTTAATGAATTTTTTTAATATTTTAAGCAATTTTTTTTTTTAAATTTTTAGATACACCTAACATAAATACACTTAAAAAGTATAATATTTGTGAATTTTTTTTAAAAAATACACTAAATACCAAAAAATACAAAAAAAATATGAAAATTTAGTACATTTTCATATTTTTGTGTATTTATTAATTTTTTTAAATATTTTTTCACAAATATTTTACTATTTAGATACATCTAAGTAAAGTGTATCTAAAAAAGTAAAAAAATACCTTAAAATTTAAAAAATATTCACTAAAAACAAGAAAACACGAAAAACAAAAAACTTAATTTTCAAAAAACTGAATTCAAAAAACTGAAACCAAACACACTGCATGTTTTTTTTTTCCTGGATTTAATTTGATTTTGTGCTGGACGATGAAATGGATCTGGGCTAGTTTGGGCTTTTTTATTTTTTAGATCAGAAATTTGGGTTGGGCCTTTGCGGTTTCGGTGGACCACAATGATATATATATTTTTTTTTAGTGAAAACAGTTTTTAAAAATTCAAAAATTAATTTAAAAATAAATTAAAAGTAATTTTTTTTTTACATGGGTGTTTTTAGAGAAAAATAAAATTGAAAACAATTTATCAAACAAATTTTAGGTATCAGTCTTATTTTATATATTTTCAAGAATAGAAAACAAACAATGTTACCAAACACGTTGGGGAAGTTAGTATTATTCTTTTCCTTTTTATGTTTGATTATTTTTTTCTTCGGTCCTTGATTTTTTTTTCCCACTTTAACCTTTCATATTTTAAGTTTTTCTCAATTTACTTCTAAAACTAATTTATGTTCAAAATTAGATAAAAAATTTTGCATTAACTATTGCATAACATAAAAAATATATTATTAAATTGGGATTTGGGTTCGTGTTAGGGATGTGAGTTATATATATAATAAAATATTTTTAGCTCATGTGATTATTAATGTATCATTTTCTGTCTAATTTTGGACAAAAATTAGTTGTTAGAGTAAATTGACAAAAACTTGAAACATGAAAAGTCAACCTAAGAAAAGATAAAATTTTAAGACTAAAGTGAAAAAATAATCAAATATAAAATGGTAAAGTGTAATTTACCCCATAAGTAATCCAGCTTAAGTGAAGCTTTTAATAGTGGTTCAATTTCACACATTCTTAATCTAGGTTAGGTAAAGTTAAAATTAGTTGTTTAATACAGTTTTAGTCCAGCTTGGGGGAAATGCATGTTCCAATTTCACACAGAGACACACATGGGCTCTTAGACCCGGTAATGACCTGCTATATGTCTGAAGAGAGATAAAAATTAAAATCATAAATTCATAACATACTAAATTACACTTTTATGTTTAATCATTTTCTTATTTTGACCTTTGAGTTTTTTTTTTTTTCTTTACTTTGGCTTTTTATGTTTTAAATTAGACAGAAAATACCACACCAACTGCTACATGGCATAAAAAAAATTATTATTATGTTGAGATTTAAGTTTATGTCTTATATATAATATGATATTTTTATATCATGTTTCATTATCTATCTAATTTAAGATATAAGTTAATTTTTTGAGTAAATTGAAAAAAACATAAAAAATAAAGAGCTAAAATAGAAAAAGAAAAATTTCAAAGATTAAAATGAAAAAATGAGCAAGTATGTAAGGGTTAATGAATAATTTACCCATTCATAATATTAACGTGGACTTTGGAATTTATAATTAAAATACTTAGGACTAGTTTGTTAATATGTTATTTTAATTAAAACTTTATTATAAACTATCCCATTATCTTTTATTTTTTTTATTTTTTTATGAAACATTAAAAAAATTATTAAAATAATCAACACCAAGGCATAAATTTCATAAATTATTAAAATACTCAATACCAAAGGCATAAACTTCATTATCGTACATGCACGAGTATAGAATTTTCATGCATCCAATTAAATTGGTCAATGAGTCATAACGTTGACTGGATATATATATATATATATATAGAATAAAACTTGAGACCTCCAGTGGAGATGTTGGAGATCCTCTGTAATTGGTTCAAAAATCAATTTTTTTTTTTTTTAGTTTTCAACCACTCCCAAACTGACACGTGACACTGGAGGGTCAATGAGAATCAACCCACTGAAGCCCCAGTAGAATTGATATATATATATATATACATATATATTTGTAGGGTTCATGAAAACAATATTACAATTAATTGCACGCGAAACACTTTTTTAACATTTTTCCTTCTTCCTCTGCAGCTTCGTTCCTCTTTGACTAAACAAATCAAATCAAACCAAGGATATCTCACTCTCTCTCATCACCAATCCTTCAAATCATACCCTGCATGCATAGCATCAGATTGATCAACAATTCTTTTTTTTTTTTAATTAACAAGTGTGGGAGTTCAAAAAAAATATCAATTCACTTGGGTCCAATTCAAACAAGTCTTAAGAATGGACTAACACCATCAACAACGCCTACCCAACAAATATCTACCAAGCAAATATTACACTTCTATAAAAAGGAAGCATGACATAGAAGGTAAGGGGAACACAAGTACACAAACATTCTAATTCTTCTTTTATTTTCTTTGATTTAAGTTATTAATTTTATTATCAGAATGTCCCTAGCTGACAATCCTAATTAAGTCGTGCCGGTTATGTTTGTCTTTGTAAATCTACAAGGCTAAACTTATCTTTTTATTAAATCTTTTCAATAATCCATATGTGAGAATTTTAAGTCTCACAGAAAGAATATACAAATAGGAATTCTCCCTCCCATAAAAAGGGATAACCAACAATCAAGATTTTTAAATATAGGCCATATCGATTTTTTATCTCTTAATATTGATACACTATAATATATCAATGATCGATAAGTTGGAGAACGAAGATTACTTGTGTGCTGACAAATTGACAATACGTCATTGCTAATTACGACCAATATCACTGATTGATTATAAAAATCTTTATCAACACACTTTGATATATCAGTGGACCATATAAATAAAAATTATTTGCGTATCAGTTTATAATCAATTTATAGCCTGATTCATAGCCAATATAGCCATCCAATTAAACTGCTGAGAGGGTAATTTATATGTAAATTGGGCCGAGCTGGGTAATGGGCCATTCTGTGGGCTACAGTAAGAAGAGCTGAGTAAAAGAGCCTTATAATTAACCCGATCCAGAGGAGCCTTGCTGGTAGCCCGGTCCGAAGGAGCTTGGTGGTTAGCTCGGTCACCACGGTCGGCGCGGTGACAGTTAGCCCGGTCAAACCATCTTGAGCCGAGATATTTTTGGCTTCTATTTAGGACTTTGCTGTTGAGTAGCTCGGTCCAAGTACGCTATGGTTAGCACAGTCTACAAGCAAAGCCGAGGTACATGTTACACATAAAGCGTCGGGATAAATGTAACATGAGTATTGTTAGCTCGGTTACATTGTCATTGTGTCATGACAATGCTAGCTCGGTTGTTTGGATATGACACCGAGCTAGGACCATCTCACTTGGTTTAAGCAGTGAGGGGGTGCTGAAGGATAAGCATTATCTTTCAGGAGTATGATTCCTATGAGGACTCTGCATGGAGGAATAAGAGTCCTACTAGGATTGTGTCACGTGGAACCTATAAAAGCTCATATCATCACCTATGGAGAGATAACACAACTATGATTCTCGAATACACAGAGCTTTTGTCTATTTTGCTGACTTAGGCATCAGAGAGGTATTCGGCACACACCTGCCGGCTAGGTCACGTTTGCGTTTTCAGGGAGTAAAGCAACGACGTTTGGAGGAGCGCGGATTTGATCAACAGGATTATACGAGAAGATTATTTCTTGCTTGTACAATTGGCGCCGTCTATGGGAATCACAGAAAGAACAAAACCTCTTGATCAAAGTTTTCCTCGCTAGACTAGATGTGATGGTGCACAATGAGGATTTGCCGCAGTCTGCCATTGACAGACAAACCCCGGAGGGAGGTGGGAGGCGCGAAGGTTTGCCTTCCATCCCTCCCATGGCAGATTTAGAGCCCCAGCGACAGAACCCCCGGAGGGATGCAAGAGGGAGACGGGGTAACAGCCCCCATCCCTCATCAAGTCCTGATAGGCAGAGGAGGAGGATCGACCCTCAAGTTTTTGAGGATCGGGTAAAGGAGCAGGACGAGTTAATCAGGAAGATGGCGGCGGACAGCCGCAGTCTGCCATTGACAGACAAACCCCGGAGGGAGGTGGGAGGCGCGAAGGTTTGCCTTCCATCCCTCCCATGGCAGATTTAGAGCCCCAGCGACAGAACCCCCGGAGGGATGCAAGAGGGAGGCGGGGTAACAGCCCCCGTCCCTCATCAAGTCCTGATAGGCAGAGGAGGAGGATCGACCCTCAAGTTTTTGAGGATCGGGTAAAGGAACAGGACGAGTTAATCAGGAAGATGGCGGCGGACATGGAATTGATGAAGCGCTAGATAAAAAAGAAGGGGGTGACGACAGGAGTGGGGTGCAAGAGCAATACGCCTCATCGCCACTCAGAAGATTGTGGTAGACATACCACACCATCGTAAGCAGAGAGTAGAAGCCTCAGGACAGGCGACACTCAATCAAGGACTTCTAGAACTCGTTACTCTAGGTCTGAGACAACGAGATCATTGAGGTCTTATACTGAGGGAAGCACCTATCGGCCCTCACATATGCACCAGACATCATCCAGGCAAACGAAGTTGCCTAGATCGTCCGACCTACGGACTGTGCTTGAAGAAAGGGCACGACGGAAGGAGGATGCTAGGGCACGCGACCAGCACAGAGTTTCAACCCTTCAGCGGTTGACTCCTCGGATGCATGGAAGCGTCGAGGTTGGAATGCCAATACCGTACCTTGCCTACAAATCAACAGATAAAGTATTGGCAAGGCTACATAGCTTGCCATTCGTTCCGGCGATTGAGAACGCACCATTACCTTCAGGCTTCATCCAGCCTAAATTTACGACTTATGAGGGAAAGACAGACCCTCCATGCACCTAAGCCACTTTCGCTAGGTCATGGCAGTATACAGGCGGAACGAGGCTTTGATGTGCATCCTATTCCCATCCAGCCTTGGCGACCTAGGTTTAACCTGGTTCGAAAGGCTACCAGAAGGAAACATAGCCTCCTAGGCACAATTAGCAGAGGCATTCGTGACATGGTTCAGAACGAACACGAAGACGCCAGTAGAGATCGATTAGCTACTCTCCATTGACATGGGCGACAAGGAGACGTTGAGATCCTATAACAGTCGTTATTGGGAGACCCTCAACGAGATAGGAGATTGCCCTACAAATCTCGCCATCGCGTAGTATAAAAGAGGTCTTCCAGTGGGAAACAGGTTGAGGGACTCAATCACCATGACGCCACCCCTCACAATGGAAGCCTTAATGGAGAGGATACACCAGCACATTTGGGTGGAGGAGGATGACATCTATGCTAAAACAAAATCTGGTATAACCGTAATACCAGATAAAAAGACTCCGACAAAAGTCAACACGGTAGAATGTCCGAGCAAAAACGGGTGAGGCAGGCGAGACAACGGAGAGGACCAAGGTAAAAAGTGGTTGAGAGTCCGCACTGCCATTACCACAGTGTTCAAAAAACCAATCTATCGGATTCTCAGCGAGATACGCGACGAACCCTTCATTAGATGGCCAGCTAAATTGGGAGAGGCACAAAAGGACTATGACGAAAGATCTCGGTGCACCTTCCATAAGGAAAAAGGGCACCGCACTGAAAATTGCACGCCATTGAGACAGCACCTGGAAGAGTTAGTGGCAGTTGGGCATCTGGACAAGTACATTGAGGGAGGGACGTAGCCAGCCTCCCAAAACCACGATCACCCAGACGGAACGCCGATCGACGCCCCACCTCAAGGCGTGATAAACATAATACATGGGGTATACGAACCTGAGCGAGTATGTGAGCTTAGGGGCATGATAAAGAAGGCTGAACACTTAAGAGAGGTATTAAGTGCACAGCCCACCATTAAAAAGAGAAAAACAGAGGCCACGAACGTCATGTTTTTTTCAGATAGAGATTTGGCAAAGATATATTGCCCTCACAATGATGCACTAGTCGTCACTCTTCACATCAAGGATTACGACATCAAGCGAATTTTGATTGACCAAGGGAGCTCATGTGAGATAATGTATTACGAAACCTTCAAGCAGTTGAAACTGGAGAATAAAGACTTGGCACCTGCCGTATCTCCCCTGATCGGATTCAACTCAATGCCAGAGTGGCCAGTTGGTAAGATAATCCTCTCAGTCAGAGCAGGAAGCATGACGAAACAAGTGGAATTCTGGGTATTGAAAGTCCCGTCCACTTACAACATAATCTTGGGGAAGACATGGCTGTATGCCATGCGATCGGTAGCGTCAACCTACCATCAAGTAATGTGGTTCCCCAACGAAGTCGGAGTAATTGAAGAGGTCTACAGAAACCAAATTATGTCCAAGCAATGCTTCGTCACAGTAAATGGTAGCTGGGCTGCCAAAGGGTTTGTTCAAATGGTGGAAGAACCTAAGGGCAATGAATTATTTACAGATGTTGGCAAAGCCGCTAAACAGAAGGCAGTAGAAGACTTGGTACAGGTAAGAATAGATGAAAAGGACTCGAAAAAGTTCTTTTTGCTTGGTTCATCTATGTCCAGCACCGAGAGAATAGAGATCATGGAATTCTTGACCTCAAACATCGAAGTGTTTGCCTGGACGCCATACGACATGCCTAACATTGACCCAAACTTCATCTGTCACCAATTGAATGTCTACCCAACTGCAAGACCAATCATACAGCACACTCGTAGATCGGCACTTCACCACGCCGAGATAGTGGCGGAAGAAGGGGAAAACCTTCTAGAGGCAGGAGCTATCAGAGAAGTGTACTATCCCAAGTGGATATCCAATACAGTAGTGGTGTCAAAGAAGAAGGAAAAATGGCGTGTCTGCGTGGACTACAAAACAGTCAACAAAGCGTGTCCAAAAGACAGTTTTTTTTTACCACGAATAGACCAACTGGTAGATCTAACGGTAGGACACAACCGTCTTAGCTTTCTGGATGCGTACAGAGGTTACCATCAGATCGCCGTGTATGAGCCAGACCAGGAGGTCACATCTTTTACGATGTCAAGAGGACTGTATTGTTACAAGGTCATGCCCTTTGGCCTAAAAAACGCAGGGGCAACATTCCAGCGGATGATCACTAAGATGTTCGAACCATTGCTAGGCAGAACAATGGAGGCCTACATCGATGATATGGTAGTCAAAAGCAAGGATGAGAATGACCATCTCAGGGACCTAAGTGAGATGTTTCAGATCCTAAAGAAGCAC